AAGACAATACGAATTCTAACCAGAGAGTTGTCTGTTTCAAAAATGTATATAAAAGTTTCGTGCTTTAAAAAGAAAATTATTACAAAATTTTTTTTCTCAACTCCAATGCTAAAATTTTGTTCCCTCTTCATTAGGTCTAGGCTTTCGACCAATGCCCCCAGAAGCGAATGTTGAGAGCACATTAGTTTGGTACGAGTCATCAAAGAAAGATAACTATAAATACTGGGTGGACGAGACTTCACGTTTTCTGAAATGTAAGTTATACTATGAATATTTTTGGTTTTTAATGCCAAAATTCAAATAAGTTTTTCTTAAATATACTTATAATGGTAAAAGGATAACAATTTACTTTATAATTGTATTTGGACTTTGAATAGTTTTATTATTCATTTCTAATAATACCAAAAAAAAATCACATAAAAAACTTTTGTTTATCTAACACTGTGTTTCGTAGTTCTACCCTTTCTGCTTGTCCACGTGTCGAACTGTTTGTCTATCCGTATGATCGTCAACATTTTTGAATTTATAAAAGCAGGAGATTCTATTATGCCTGCGAATTTAAAGTTTTTAACCTCTGGCCGCGCATATTCAAACCTCCACTTGCCACAAAAGTCTTTCACTTATTACACACTTTCAGACGATACATTGATTTCAGTCAGAAATGATCAGTATCAACAGCATAGTCAGCACTGCTATGTCCGTCTTTCCGTTCGTCTCTTTATACGCTAACTAGTCTCTAAATTATAAACCTATGTGCATAAAACAAAGTATTTCTTCTATTACAGGTAGTTATTAGTCGGAACGGTCCGGGTCTATAGCTGCCAGTGATTCCACTGATTCAAAATAGAAATGGGAAAAACATTTACCTTCGTTTTTGACTATAAATCGATATAGTTTTGTAAACAGTAGTTTTTGGACAATATAAAATATCGGTATAATTTGAACTAAATCGGCTACATCATATAGTTTCCATGGGAATCGTAGGAATATTAAATACTAAAATAAGAAAAGAAAAGAAATCATAGTTTCACTTTTTGTAATCATAAAGTGTTTGTATCGGGACACACTAGTTTTTTTACCCGAAGGGTATACTCGACACGTTGAACATTGCTACACCCACTCTAACTGTTTTGATACCTTTTTAGTTTTTTTTATAAGTCTATAAATTTCTGGCGATATCATACTTTTTGCCATGCCCCCAATCCGTCCGAAACAGCCACGCGTTATATTACTGGTCTTGCAATTTTCTATCGGAATACAATAGATATCGGAATACTAAGGCCCACAAAGCGCTCAAACCGGCCGCGCTCATACTTTTGGAAATTTGTTTTATTGCTTTTTATTTTATATTTTTCTTGCCTATTTCTATCGATTAGCCAAAAACAAAAAATAGGGAAATTTCTGGTTCGCAATCCCACTAGCTGAGTAACGGGTATCTAATAGTCGAAAAAATCGACTCTCTGGTTTTATTATGTAATTAAATCAAGTATATATACAAGCTTTCTTGTATTTACTTATCTGTGTACCCATTACGCTTCGATTCGTTAGAAAATATGACGGTTAGTGAGGGGTTTCTGATGATCGAGGAACTCGACTTTAGCGTTTGTGTAATTTTACACCTTATCTCTACGTCCTTCCTCTCCTATATTTTTACCTTCAATCCTCGGTAGCTGATCCCTGTACTCCAATGCAGCAACAAAATTTCCATATCGTTGAGAAAACTAAACAGCTGTGAAATGAAGAATACTTCTTCAAGAACTTTAACGTCGAACTTGTTAAAGTTCTGCGCAGTTGTATAACATTTCATATAATGAGGTACGAAACGATTACAGCTTCTACTTTTGAACTGAATCAGTTTCTTAAATAAACCGAGGTATGTAAACTAACGGGTGCGTTAACTTGGATGAAGTCATTTTTACAAAAACTCGATCGACTTGTACTTTTCAGCATAGCAGAGCAATGTTCCAAAAATATCGAAAAAATATTTAAGTCACTCCCATTATTTGAAAAACAAAGAAAAGCTAAAAAAATAATAGGTTTATTTACGATTAGTACAAATTATATTAACTTTTCTTTTCTGTTATACATAAAATTATATATGTTTTTTATGTTCTCAACATTTCTTAATCTATTCGAACGATTTGCCTTCAGGAACAAAAATAAATCAAGCATTTTCTTTTGATATAAATTAATTTATAACTGACGTAAATTTCGTATTTAATAATGTATATTACATTTATTGCATGATTACTCAAGCATGGGCTTCTGATTTCACCTATTGATATTGTTGATTACATTACTTTTAATATTTTGTTTTGTTGTTTTTATATAAAATATTTTTTAATATTTGTTTTAATATTTTTATTTTTGATAACCAACAATAATAAGATCACAGTAAGTTATACTTAGCTCGAATAAAAAGCAAATAGAAAACTTTATCGCTATTGGATTATCTTGCAAAGCTATTTAGTCAGTTACCAAAAGGCACAAAGTAAATAAAAAATTTTTACTTATGTAAAGTAAATAGAAAATAGTTACCAATGAAAATATTTAAATTTAAACTTGCCAAACTTAAACTTAATTGTAAAATTGCAAAACTTAAAATGTATTACCGGACATCGCTCGTAAATGACATTTAACTATTCGCAGCTTACCAGGATCTTGAGAAGCAAAACCAAGTGAACTGTAGCTTTGAACATCCACCACAAGACGACAAAGTCTGCGGCATTGATTTCTCCAGCTTCTCGCCATGTACAGCTGACAACAACTTTGGCTATCACGTTGCCCGGCCATGTATATTCCTTAAGTTGAATAAGGTGAAAGACATTATCTATGGACAAATCAAAGCATTCTCTGAAAGTGAAAGCTACATTTTCTTTATAGATTTACAATTGGATACCAGAAATTTACAACGATTCTAAGACCTTGCCAGATCATATGCCAGAGGAACTAAAACAGCACATCAAGGAAAAGCAAAGTCTTAGACCCAATGAAGTAAGCTTGGAAAGAATATTTGAAAAAAAATTTAATAATTATGCTTATTTTATTTCTTTTATTTCTGCTTCTAGACAAATGTAGTTTGGGTCTCGTGCGAGGGAGAAAATCCCGCTGATGTCGAAAACATAAAAGCACGTGACTACTATCCACGCATGGGTTTCCCTCGTTACTATTTTCCGTTCAAAAACATTCAGGGATATATACCGCCCATTGTTGCTGTTCAATTTACCGTTGAAAGTAAGTGAAAATTGTATATGTATGACATGTGTACTTAACAATTCTGCTAAAAAAACGATGTTTTTATTGTTTGAAGTTTGTATAAATACTTAGGTGTAATTGTGTGAACTTAATGTGTACTTAACAATTATGCTAAAAAAACGTTGCAATATAGTTTTTATTGTTTGAAGTTTTGTATAAATACTTAGGTGTAATATACATAAAAAGCTATTTGATTAAATTACAAAAAGTATTTTACAGGGAGACGGAGTCTTCACCATGTCGTTGTTGATAAAAGTAAACGTAATTCATTACATATATTACGTTTATTTTTAGCTGCAATAGACTTTCTAAGTTATTTAACATTATCGGGCTACTTAATTCGTAGAGCAAAGATATTTATATGAGGTCATCATAGTATATCATCTTGATTAGAATTACTAGCCTAGTCAATGTTGCCATGCCCGTTTGATTATTTAACTGTCCGTATAAACGGAGAAATCTTAAAAATTAAAGCTAGATAATTAAGATCAAACATTCAAGTAGTTCCTTTAAATCGCCAAAGACTGCCACGCTCACTATCGGTATTTTTATAACCGGTATTTTTTATAAAAGCCAGAAAGCTGAGATAAAGCATGCAGATCCAGAGACATAGAGGTGTGCAAGTTGTCACGCCCACTCTAAAACCCACAAAGCGCCCGAAACTGAAAACTGAGTTGAACCTTTTCATTTTATTATTTGTCTATCCGATTTCTATCGATAAGCTTTATAATTTGGCCGCTGCCTACTCTAAGCCGCCCATAGCGCCACGTCCTCACTTTTGAAATTAGTTTTGAAATTTTTTTATTTTATTGTTTTTAAGGCAATTTTTATCGATATACCAATAATAGTGTTGGTCTCGTTCGCACTCCCACTACCTGAGTAACGGGTATCTAATAGTCGAGGAACTCGACTAAACTCGACTAAATGAATAATTTGGTTAACGAAGTTAAGGATATCTAGTAGTCGATGGACATGACTAGCGTACCCATTTGTTTCTTTACTATTTTAGTATCCTTTTATATCATACATTTGCATTTTAAATTTAAATTTGATTGCTTTGATTAATTATAGCCGGTGTTTTGATCAACATTGAGTGTAAAGCTTGGGCCCGCAACATAAATCACGACCGTTCAGACAGAAGAGGATCCGTTCACTTCGAGTTGATGGTTGATTAAGAGAAGATGCGTTATGAAGATGCCATTGGCGCGATACGATCGACCGTTTCAAGGGGCACCAAAAAAAATATGAGAAAATAAAATAAAATAAGACAATGGAATACAGAAAAAATCGGCAACAAATACGAACAAAATGAAGAAGCGCAGAAACGTCAGGTTAATGCAAAAAACAAAAAAAAAACTATCGTGCGAAATACAGCAGCAACCAAAGAGAAAATTTAAAAAAATCTAAAAAAAAACCAATGAAAACCTTTAAGATAAAATAAAACTAGCCCAATAAAGCTAAACAAAATGCTAAGAGTATTCAACCCTACCCAACGCTAAATAAACAACGCTCCACGCATAATCACACTAAAACCTTAATTTTTAATATGTAGTAAACGAACTAGCCAGAAGCATACAGAAAACTTTCATAACAAGAAGTGTTTCTCTTAAAATTCTTTATTATTTTTTAGTTTATATTTTTGTACCCAGACATAGCCAAAAAAAACGAGCACCCCAGTCAAAAGTTCTAAACGCTTAACGTATTTTGTACTAGTATTTTGTACGATTACCAAGCGATTTAAATATTTTAAAATTATTTATATATGTACAATTGGAGAAAATATAAAGAAATACATATATGTGTTTAGAAACCTCTCTACTCAATTCCCATCATCTCCATTATCTCCCTGAAAGGCAAGATATAATGTAAAGGTTTTTAAAATATTGTTTAGATAATTTAATATAAAGTAACAAAAATACATACCACTTGGAAAAATTACAACTACACTATGCCTAACACTTTTTAGTTTTAATACTACGTTCACAATGCAACGAGAACATAAATTGTAGTATTTTGAGAACAATTAAACAACAACTTAAATTAGCAAACTAAAACGCAAAACAATTTAATGAAAAATATAAATAAAGCAAAACTAAAAAGCAAATCAAGATATATATCTATTAAAGTCTCTATAATTATTATTGAAAGCCGCAAATCCAAGATCACAGATAGGTAAATCGCATTAAAATATATAAATTAAAGAAATAAAAACCATAAGAAAATAATTAACTGAATAAATTACTGAATAAATAATAAAGAGAATTTTGGTTGCAATAATAATGAGCATATTTTATTAAAATATATTATGTATACTACACTACAAAAATAATAAAAATAAATTCAAATTGTTTTACCAAAATAAAATTATTCCGTTTCCATCTCATGTATGTTTTACAGCGAACCCCTTCCCATATTAACGATTCTGAAAAGTACTCATTCTTCGGTGTGCAGAAACTAGCAATTGAATTGGAATATATGTATATTATATTAAATTTTTTTATTTACTCACAGGAAACCTTTTCAGCATTGTGAAAATTGTGAAATTTTCAGCATTGTCAGTATATTGTGAAAATTATAACAGAAATATGAGTTTCAACTAAATAAAAATAGAAAATTTCTCATTTCCCGCAAATCAAAAATAATTATCCCTTTTTCCATCCACTAACGAGAGAAATTTCTTTGTTTAGTATAAGGTGTTAAGCCACATAAAATTATATAGTCTTGCTAATAATAAATAAAATAAAATAAATTATATAATAAGCGTAATTTCATAAAATGAACTTAAACAAAACAATTTCAAGAGGAAATATTTCAAAAAAATTAAATGAAATCGATATTGTAATTCTAATACATGTCCATTCTTATTGCAAATTTGGAATGTGGAATTAAATATTTTTTGAAGTCCTATTTGACTTCATCAGTTTATTATGTTTCACCAGTCTACGTTATTGAAAAAACTAAAATATAACCTTTAAAATACCACGTAAAATGGTTAGAAAGTGTAATACGGAAATGGTTTTCTAAAATCTGTGTAGTGCATGTTTTCCTTAGACTAAGCTTAACCAATTATAAAATAAAATTAATTAGTTAAGTAGTAAAACAAAATTAGAGCAACAATTTAAATTTTTAACAAAAAATTCTGGTTGGGAGATCGTTTGAAATATATGTATTTATCATTCAGGTAACCGCGGGCAGAACTACATTTAAATTGATGGTATCTCAATAGCTTATTACTTTTCCTTTTTACGTACAAATTTAAAGTTGAAGACGATATTTAATTGCCACTTTCCCGCAAAATGTTCCCTGAAAACAATCGATGAATATTAAAAGGATATCTAAGATAAGCAAGGTATTGTAACCATAACAATTAATTATTTTCCATCAAAAAATATATTCCTAACACAACTGCCAATTACATATTTGTCACAAATGCCAATGAAAAAAAAAAACTTGATCAGTTGCTGGTTGGAATCGTCTGCCAGCGGTTGCCTATAACTTGCTATAGATTACTTTAAATACTTTCTATTTTGTACTAGCGGCAACTTAAACATTGTTTAATAAAATTTATCTAACAAGTATATTAATAAACTGCCATTTTTTATGAATTAATAAAAGCGTAAAAAATAACCACAAAAAATTTAACTTTTTGTAAACCGGCAACCAAAGGATTTTCAATGATTGTTTTAGAATTTTTAAATATGAACATATTTATAAATATGCCCATTGTGATCTTTATCAGATTTCGCTACAGAAAGTTTTCTATGGTCTCCCACAGAAATGTTTGTACGAATCAACGACGATTAATCAACTTTTCGTTTGTTTGCAATTAGTACACATTAATGGAAAAGTTTAAAAAAAAAACTAGGGACTTTACCAAATGGAAAAAATAGAAAAAATGTGTATTTAAATTAAACTATATATCTTTAAGAAAGTATAACATTTGCAAAATATATGCAAATATATATATGTCATATGCATATATGCAAGGTAAAGAAATTAAAAAAAAGTTGTTTAATGTAAGTATGCATTAATTTATAATTTTTGTTTTACAAATAAACCCAATAAATTAATAATTCAACCGAAATCGCAAGCCGCAGTTCACGAAGGGTATATAGATTTCATAGAAATATCTTGTTTGTAACCCACAATTAATATGTTTTCTACCAAAATTATTATACCTAAAATAACATAAATCAATAATAGAAATTTGATTTCCTTGAGGCTTAGGAATATTAATAATACAACCCATATTGCTTTTATAACTTCTTCATCAAAGCAGAGGAAAAATATATATATTGGCAACAAAACGATGAACAAACACAGCTTTTTGTATTATTTAAGAATACAAAAAAAATATATATATAAGCTGTAATAATATACTAAACTTAAACCATGAAGTAAATAAAACAAAAAACATTGTGCTACATATTTCTTGAAAAAAACCCCATTAAAAGCAAAGTCATTGTGTACACGTTACAAAGCATAAATTGTTTGACACATTTTACTGAATTCAATAAAAATAATATGTTGATATGGAATTAAACAATTCCAAATAAACAAAACAAAAACAGGAAAATGTTTTTATTATAGCTCTAACATAAAAAAAAATAAACATTCCCTTTCGAATTAATAACCTATGACAAAAATCAGGGTTTGTAAAAGATGCAGGATTATTTATACAAAACAATAGAAAACGCTATAGTCAAGTACTTGGGCTATCGAACTCATGCCACTCTGCTTAAGTAAGTGCTGAGTGTTGGCACATGTGGGATAGACACCAGCTACTGTAACCGACATTTAAGTACATTTTTCTTATTTCTCTTTTTTTCATTATCAAACTACGCTGCACGACGGCAAATTTTTCCATACTTAAAAATTCAGAAAAATATATTTTAAAATACTTGTTAAATATATGGCTTTCTTAAAAAAGTTGAAAAATTCTTTTATTGATAAAATATTATATAATGGGAATAAAACATATTCCCAAAACAAGAAAATGAAAATTTTGTCGGTTTTTTGTTTGCCTTTAACCAAAACGTTATTTTAAAATTCTGAAATAATGCCAAATTAGTATAATTTAGAAATTTTATTTTCTTAGTTGAATATAAAATAATTTTTCACCACAAAATTTGATATCATATGTTGAAGTTGCGATTCTACGCTAAAGGATGTTCTTGCTGATATATTTCAGTCTGAAATTGAAACCATTGAAATTTCATCAATTGTAATTAGGAAGACATTTTTTGTGCTATCCCGTGTTAACCTTTATTTAATATTGTTTAATTGTTTACTTTTAGATATGCCTCCATAATTAACAGGCAATTTTAACAATCTATGTATATAAATGTATATATTCTTGATATATAATATATATATACACACTTTTCACAAAGTCAATTAGATCGGAACACAATTGGCTATGCTTATTTACATAGATTTTAATTCGAAGCACTTTACTTACCTGATTTATATAATAAACTTCAAGGAACTTTGCAATAAAAACAATTACCTCGTGCCGAGATCGAATGAGTGATTTTTAGGTGCTTATATCCGCTGGTCTGTAGAGCCCCAGCGGGTAAAGATATAAACGCTTAGAGGTATCTGACAGATACGACTAAAGAAAAGATTTTGGCCGTGGCAGGGGTATTGGGGCTAAGAAACTTTAGCTTAAACGCTTAGCATAAGCATGTATGATTAGCGAGCTGAATTTATTCGCCCAAAGTGGAGGCGCTGACACAGTCAGCGAGGTCGAAGTATTGCCTGATGCACCGATCGCAGGTTAGGTCTTTTCATTTGGGAACCTTGAAGTAAGCGGATGCAGTTCTACGACCAAAGTTGCAGTTTTGCGAGGGCCGTATATATTCATATAAATAACCTGAAACAAATCGCGAAACACAAATCTCACCTATTTCTCTGTCGCTGGCTACTGGAAATCAGTTAGTCCCGAGCCGCTAGACGAATAGGTCGCTAAACCAACGGGCTCTCCTCGGGGAAAAAGCGTGCGCGGTCGAAAAAAAAATGGATTAGCGGTCGTCTACGCATAAATCGAGGAAAAACCAAACGTCGAAAAGATCGGCGCTCAGAAGCTGCTTGGTTCGTAAGTAACTTTTCTTTGACGAAGGAAGTGTATCACAGTACACTTGAACAGATCAGAGAATCTGGCTTCTATATTTTCTTTGATGACCTAGTCGCCGGGTCTGGCTAGCGTAAGTGTCGTTAGTTTTTTTTATTCAGAAGTAATAAGCAAAAAAAGAAAAGCAGTGCAAGAAAAAGTGACCAAGTGAGGTAAATTGTCTATTTTCGTTTATTTTTATCATGGCGTAAGTACAGCCAAAAGAGAATGGAGAAGAGGCATAC